TTAGCATCACAAGATATCTGCATGGGCTTTGAAGACATACAGTATGTTGAGTAATAAAATACAGGTACTGTACATGCTAGCCTTGATCTAAACAGGACAACTGCTGAAACACTTTAAGGATTAACATGTGACAGTTATTATGTTGTATGTGCATGAATCAAAACATTTAGGAAACAAAGCTTTTGCTCACACCATAATCTGTCCTGCTATCCCATATATTGATCCAATATATTTCATTCTCATGTTACTATTTTTAGCCAATATTATCACTGCTGAGGATACGCCTTGCACTGCCTATGACAAATGCCAAAGCAGAAGTAAAGGTATTTAATCAACTGGAGTTTTAGAAAAACATCAAAGATCAGGAATTTCTTACTCCCACCACAAAATGATTACAGTACAAACAGTAAAGCTTAACATTTGCTTTAATCGTGATCAAAACCCATATAACTTAAATATGAACAATGTCTCATGTGCCAGTAGAAATGATTAGTGTTATTCCTGTAACCAAATCTAGGAAGTGAGCAAAAGAAGAAAAGAATTGAGAACTTCATTTCGGAAAAGAAAATAAAGATATCTGTAGTACTCTAGAGATGACAGACTATGCAACATCTACCCACATTTATTTTGATGATGAGTAAAAGTAAATCTCTTAGCTACAAAAGCTTTGCTATTTCCCTCCCTTTTAAAAAAGGAGATAATTTAATTAACAAATTAGTGTTCTTGATTTGAGTGGGGGAAGTTAGACAGTTCCTCTCTTTTGGCATGATGGCTGGCTGTCCCATGTGTTTGTTTAGGGAGTTTCTTTTTGATAGCTGCTGTCATTTGTAATTCTAGTGCAGCCGTGTGATTCTTCATTCCTAATTAACAGGCAATCCCTGATCCAAGTGGAATGTATAAATTAACACCTCCTTCTTTGAAATAATTGTAGTGCTACGCATCAAACCTAAAAATATCACAGAACTGATTCTAGATTCATACTGCAGCATTTACTACAACACTATAATCGTGTAGGACTTTTGTACCATTAAATAAAATGCATTGAAAAAACAAAGCGCCAATATTCACACAACTTAACAAGGCTTCTTTAAAGGTTCAGGGATAGGGAAACTAATGGTAAGGATAGATTCAGAGATTTGTAAAACCTGGTAGAACAAGCCTTATGTGTTTGCAACTGAATGTCTGAATATCAGAAAACCATGTCTCTGCATCTACTTTAATTTGCTCTTCCCTGGTGGCATTAGATTTGTCACAATGCATGCAGTGACACACACATGCCATGAAGCTAGTTTAGAGTTTGCAGAGCTTTGCATGGCCAGAGTAATTAGAATGACTGTCAAGTGCAGAATTTTTGCTGAAATACGGTATATGGAATATATTTTGGAATTGGCTTTCACAAACCCAAAAAGGTAGATTTAATAGTAATTACAGCACCTTGTTGAAATCATTGAACACTTACTGTAACTTGAACTGACAATCTCTAGTTGTCACAGTCTTGGAGGCATTAAATCAATAAGGTTTACCGTGGCAAAATTGTAGGTTGTTATATGTTGTATAGAAAATCTTTAGACTCTATTAAACCAAATCATGCCCTTGTCTGACAAACAGCACCAGTTTACAAAGCAACTTACTTTAAACCTAGATGTAGTTACAAGCAATTTCTCCAAAAATACACCATAGCTGTATAAAACTATTTACTGTATACAATACTATTACAATATCGGGGTGGCAGAGTGGCACAGTAGTAACAATGCTGCCTCACAGGACTAGGGTCATGGGTTCAATTCCTAGGGTGCTATCACTAAGGGGTTTCCCTGTATTCATGTGGGTTTCCCCTGGGTGCTCCAGTTTCCTTGCAGAGTGCAAAGACTTGCTGGTAGGTTTACTGAATTCAGTCAAATTGAACCTGCTGTGGGGAATTTAAAAAAAACACACTCTGTTTTTTAAAATTTCTTTCTATGTCACACGTGCAATGAATACGAAAGTTTTTGAACACCTGGACAATAGTCCAGACTTACAATTTCTTAGAATCCCATTGAGAACCTTCAAGCAGAATTGCTTTCTCAGACACAAAATCACCAGAGTCCTTCTGACCACACTCGCCTATTGGTTGTTTTTAAAACAAAAGTGGTTTTGAACTTAAAATGACTATGGATTCATTTTGTGTTTCATTTCATTTTATTTTTTCATGTTTGAGGGAGTAACGATGCCAGTATGGGTGGGTAAGAGGAAAGTACCAACTGCAGTAACACTGATGCATGTGTCTCTTCAGTCTGTTCAGAAGGAAAACATTCAAAACAATGTATTGGCATGTTTTCCTGACACATACAAAACAATGGGTTCTAATACATTTTGTAAAGGACAAGAAGGGGGACATGCCATATGTTTTTCTTTTATTTCAGATTAAATTTCATCTTCAAAATGCTGAGAAAATTAAACAGGGTTATAAATATACCGTAAGATTTAACTAATATTCTGCTGCCTTCTCAAAGTGCTACTACCAGTAAGCAATACTTTACAGCATTTCTTGCAATTGCATTTATAACCAACTTCTGAATGACAAATTGATTTACTTTGTAATTTCCTATTGTGGTAAAATTAGTAGAAGTAGCCACATCTCACAGAAACACGAATAGAACAATAGTATTTTGGGATAATTCTCTGAATGCATTTGAAAGAGCAAAAGTAACACCGGATACTGCCGACACAAGACTAGAAACCTTGCTTTTTATTAATGGTTTAACAACAACCTCAAGCTTTAAATCGTCACTGCAATCTAAGAACTAAAATTCCACAGCAGGATTTCTTAAATCTGTACAGGGGAGTTTTGCTAGAGAATCCTTTCCATGGGGAACTGATCCAGAGTAGTAGAGCATTCACTTTGGTGTAACACTGCTGTTTCATGCATTTGTTACAAGCGCCAAACTCTTCTGCACATTATACCCAAAAGAGACAGAGGGCGGGAAGAAGAATTGCTGTAGCTGAGAACAAAAAAAAAGAATGGAATACAGAAAACTGTATGCGTGTTAATTAGCATGCGCATTCCTATGGATTTGAAAACGGTATGACAATTTGTTTTCTACAATACTACCTGCCGCCGCATTTTGTATAACAGAGAAGACGAGGTAGACTGAAATGCTACAGGAGAACACAAAGATCTTCACTCGGGAGACCATTTTATATCTAAAACACTTCGTGGTATTTTGCCTCACTGCCACGCTGAACTAAACAGCCGTAAGCAAAGCGACACTTCCATGACAATTGAATCAACTTGTCATACTGCTTAACTGTATTTGTATTGCCTGGTGTTGCAACTGATTTAACTCAAGCAGAAATATCAGAGTACCTGTCAATGTTTTTTTTTTTTGTTTTTTTTAGGAACAATGCGGCTGTAGGTGAAAACCTTTGAAAGCTACATGCCGTTTCATAATTCTCCTGGTCTGAATAGGAAGAAATCTAAAAAGAAATAGGAATCGATTTAAAATATCTAGCTCTTTGTATACCAATTTATTTATTGTTTATTTTCTTCATCTGTCTCCACAAATCAAGCAACGACTGATTGAACATCAATGTGCATCCTCTCCCAGCTGTTGGATCGAGCAGAGCACTTAAAACATGTTGCTTCCGTAGACAAGAAATGATTCCTATGGGATCAAAATATGAGACAAAGCTTCAGGCTCACGCTACGAGTTTTATCACATTAAGGCAAGATATCAACCCAACCCTTTTAATTGGCTTGAAAAATAATAAAGCACTACGGTATTCCTGTCATACATGTCACAACAAAGCTTCTTTGCCGTCATTGCGTTAATGTTACACATCTTCTAAGATTCCTGGCTTCCAATTGCTATACCAGAACGGTCTGGCAACGACGCCAGAGCCTATTTGAGTACATTTAGAAAAGAAGCATTCCATACTCTATAGTCTGCAAAAGCGGCGCATGTCTTCCATCAAACCACGTGCTCGTTTATTTTCGTGATGTCATTAAAACAGCAGAACATTAAAAATGTTTTATGACGACAAGGATAAAGTTTTTATATGAGGTTTAACGGAAATGATGCGGGAACAATCTGAAACGCGCAAGCAGGTACAGTATGCTTACTGCAAGGAGCTGTTCTTTCAGCACCACCAGTAGGTAAAGCGCGACTGAGAATTCACGTTTCTGTTAAATAGCGGGTGACAGTCGAATCAGTTTCTAGTTACGACCTTTATACAGTGTACAAGAACTAAGACATTTCAATATCCAGTAAACAGCACGGTAAGAAAGCAGTAAAACTCTCACTTATGTAGCAAGAACGCCGGTCTCCAAATTTCGTAAACGTCACACGATTTTCTATACACTTCGATAGGTTAAGGGATTAAAGCAGATACTTTAGTTGCTTAAGATCTTGTTTAAAACTGCACAAAGATTAATCTGTATTAAATGGTATAGCACTAAATAGAATACTCAATTTAATTAATGGTTACGTCACGTTTTAGTGTACACGAATCCCAGATAAGAGTGTATACTGTATAGAAGGTGACGGTTTCTTGTGAAAAACAAACTAAGAGACCTGCTCTGCAAGTTAAAGTGATTCCCACTAGTATCGGATTTCTTTTCTCAGTTTACAAGCTTGTTTATTGCTAAGATTCCACACTAATGTAAACCCATTTAAATCACCGCCTTGTTTTTCTCTGGTGATTCTTGTGAATGGTTCAATAAATTTAGTGCTTGTCAGAAAGAACCTCTACTGGGAAAAGGTAGAACAGAGCAATAACGGTTGAAAGAAAAATCAAATATGACTAAAGCCAATGGTTTAATGCGGTAATCATCTGGACTGCGGTGTATATCCTATTGACAAAAGGACAAAAAAGGAGGCAAATCAGATGAATAATACTAATATGCAACTTTCAAAAAGTCCAGTAGTCTACTATAACGTATGATAGGAAAAGCAAAGCTTATAATCAAGATGTTCGGTGGTCATTTATCACGGCATCAAGGAAGCAGTGATAATTCTTACCTGAAAAAGCCGCAAAATGTTCGCAACCATAATGGATACAGAACTTGCAGACGCTCCTATCACCCCTACCACCTTCTCAGGCTTGACGAACACGGGGGGTTCTCCGTTGGTACACCTCACATCCGAAGTGTCTTTTTGTATAAGAGCCTGCACAAAAGTAAGGGACTGCTCCAAAGCGTAAGTGTCTCTAGAACACGTATCTAATACCCGTGCTCCTAAAGTGATATTGGGCAAAAGCTCGTCGTCACTATTAATTTGGTCCAAAGCGTACATCATAGCTTCCAGCCTGTGGATCCCGTTTTCCTTTTTGATATCCCCGCAAGGCATTCCGGGGGTACCTCGAGCATGGACTGGGAACAGGCCACCCAAGGTCAGGTCCCCTTCAATTCTTATAGAATGGGGTGCGTAAATCTCCTGGGACAGTGTCAACTCTACCACAACCTTTGCCACCCAAAGCGCTCTCCATAGAAAGTAGGGCTTGAATGCTGTACCAAAACTGGCCATGGTTTCCCGTTATTGGCTCTAAACTGCTAAAGGCACCTATCTAAAACACAGTTATCAGAGGTGTCTGAAGTCATTTAAAAAATAAGCCATTTCGCAATTAAGAAAAAAAAAATTCCAACTGCTTCTGCAAGAAAATTGCGTTATTCACCAAAACTGTGTAAGCTCTGCCCAATACTAAAAAATTCGAAGATGGTTAAAGCGTTCGGCGTCGCTTGTTGCTCCGAAGACAATTCCAAGGAAAAATATTAACTCTAGGAAAAGAAAATTAATAAATGTAATTAAAGACGGCTAAAATTGAAGAAAGGAAAGACAGCTACACAGAAAGCAAGAAAAATGCAACAATATTCCAGAAGAAATGTGGATTAACAGTGGTCCTCACCGCACTGTTAAAATGGTACCACAATATATACTGTATAGAAAAAAACAAAACTAAATAGTAATAAAAAAACAAGTATGCAATCCTATGTGACAGAACTATTTTGAAAAGTTGTGTTTCAAACAAAAGCCACCCATGCCTATTTTTTTCTTCTCGGAAAAAACAAGCAAGAAATTGTTCATTTTTAGATCCGGCACAGCTGTATGAAATCCTCCCCGCTCAGATGAACTTCATCTCGGTTCAGTGTGTGATCAGGTGCAGCGTCCTTCAACAAATGTCCATTCCGCGTTAGTCGCCTCGCATCTGTGGCAAAAATACAAGAAAAAAACCCGAAAGGATGGAGAGAAGCGAAGAGAATACTTAGTGTCTTCCGCTCTGAGCTCTAATGGAAAGGAATGACGCCTCCTTTCACTCCACCCAGAATCAAATATGCATTTGTCAAATGAATGGCTCAGTGTTGAGAGCTTACAAGGCGCGATCAATTGCCAATTTTCTCTAGATCTCGGTATAGGAATGTGATTTTAGCAAAGTGTTATTAGTGCGCAAGGGGCTGGTTCACCTTACACCAGTGTACCATTATCGCACAAGTGTTCATCTCCTGAATATAGAACAGTGAAGCGTCAAGTTTACAACCCCCTTTATTTTCAGTTGCATCTACGGTATCGCTCCCTTCATTTCGCCTTGTCACAAAAAAGAGACGGTAATTTTCGCAGTATTTATTTGCAGTCTCGTTTCTGTTACTTACTCGAGGGACGACTGATTGAATGGAGGAGGTCGAATAACTGTCGATTTTTATTTATTCCCAGGAAAGCACAGAAGTACAGTAAAACGTTGCAGTATCACACAGAGCGAGAGAGAAAGGGCGCTTATGAATTCCTAATCGTCTAGATTACACTTTCGTATGCCCCCTCTCTCTCAGTACGTCTCTCCTAGAAGAACTCCGATTTCATGACCAAGAAGAAAATTAACCCTTAGTATAGTCCATTTCCATGCTACTAGTTCAAGTTACAAATAATAGTCCTTTACTGCACAGGCCAGGATGAAAGACTGCGTTCGCTATGGAATGTAAACTTTAAAGCAGTTTTTTTGCAGTCACATTGATCAGTGCATGTGTCATATCTTCCCTAAATTTGACAGGAGCTAAATGTTATGATGGATATGTTATTTGTTTATGGGTAAAAAGGTGGCTTTATGGGATATCTGACTGTACTTCAAAGATTTAGATTGTGATTATTATTATTATTATTATTAATATTATTATTCCTTTATAAGTAACTGTTAGATTTCAAATTAGAGGTCTAGATCTAGATCATTTGAAACACTGATAAATTGTGATGATGATTTACAAGTCAACATTATGCATTTAATTATTCTTTGTTAAAGGTGCAGAATGTTTATTAGCTGTAGCAGAGGTTGGATAAAACAACATCTGATCATATCTGAATACATGAGATGCAGTACAGAGACATGTATAAGATGCATATTATTTTCTCTGCATGTCCGTCTTTTTCTCTATTTATGAAAATAATCATGTAAGGTACAGTAGTCATGCTCCTCCATTACAGTATGTTCAGGGTTCAAGGTGTTGCTGCCTTACGGTTTCCAAGAGCCTGCACATCTAGTTTATAGACCTTAAAGCATCCTCAATTCTAGCAGTTGCATTGGTGCTATAACATTAACATAAATTTAATATCCAAATGCCTACAGCAAATGCAGCAAACGCATCCACCCCTTCCAATACAGGCTCATGGGGGAATCAGAGCCTCTCTCAGCACGTAAAGGGTGCAAGACATGACACACCCCAGATGGCATGCCAGTCCATCACAGGCTATGCAAAGACATTGTAAAAACATGCATGCACTCACATCAGGTCCACTTAATCTAATATATCTTTGGACAGTGGGAGAAAACTGGAGCACTCAGAAGAAACCCATACAAATACAGGGAGAACATAGACACACAATGCTGACAGCACCTCTGGAATTAAACCCAGGGCCCCAGTGCTGGAAGGCAGCAAAACTAACCACTTCACTGCCATCAAACGCATATGCAGTCATATTGTATAGTTTCAGATACTGTATACAAAGGTTTCCTTACAGTAGTGATTGTGCAACAGTTGACTACAACAGTTGTACACAAGACGTCCTTATGTACTGTACATAGTCACTTTCAGGATGCAACAGGAGTCTATTTTACGCTGAAACTCTCCTTAATATCCAAGCCCCTGAAATGCCCTGCAAATAGCTGGAGGGATTTTAGGTGCACAGTATTTTCACTTCTTGTAATTCCAAATTGATTATGTATATGAGGAGGTTGTGTCTCCCATTAGACTACAGGCATGACAAAATAAAACAATCTGTACACAAGTCTCTTATAGAACATATGTCCTGAAATGCCCTTAGCAACAGTATCATTGCAGTGTCTGTGGCTTCTCTTTAATATGCTTATGCTACTGTACATGCCCTTCCCATGCTTTACAATCATAAAACATTGCTTTTTTTATTTGCCTGTGCTAAACCAGTTTTATCAAGCACATACTGTAGCTTATGCACTGTATACAGTTCCCAGGGGGAACACTTAATATAATTAATATTAATACTTAAATAATTAATATTGCATTAATTCTTCTGATTATGATCTGTTTCTGTATTGCTTGTTGGAGACTTGGTATGAAGATTTTTGCTAAAGGTGTTTCATTGTTTAATACTGTATGTTATACAACATTTAAATTCTATGAATTATATACTGTAATCAAAGTACTGTTTGTGATTGATACCCAGTGGAAAATAAAGTCCAAAAAGTCATTTGTTAGTTTCAAGACAGATATAAATCCACTTGGAAATCTCTGTATAGTATTAATTGTAGGACATAACATTGATTGTTGCCATCAAGACTTAGAGAGTTGTTCAGTCAAATGTCATATGCATATTCTCAATTGTTGTCCAGCATACTTTATATACTGTAGTATGACAAATGGCAAAGAACACTACCTACTTTAGAATTCAATTTTATTCCTTAATGGAAAAATAACTATTTCCAACAGTAACTTCACACTGTGGGTTTTATGAAGATTTTTAATGTAAAATAGACTGAACATCTACCATATTCTCTGGGTCAAATTGTGAAAATGCTAGGCACGTTTTCATTATTAACCCCCCTCCCTCATTGTACATCAGCAACAAGAACTTGATCATGTTTTTGTTTTCCAATAAAGTTAATGTCCTACTGGGAACACTGACCTCAGATGTGGATATCTAGATCTACAATTAAAAATAAAGTACACTTCTTTTCAAGCCACATTAGAGAGGTTCATAAGCATTTTGTCTACGTTACTTGTTCTTCATTAACCTTGGGCTAATGTCAGCCATGGTCTTCAAAAGCAATCTGGCTTTTTGTAGAAAGGTTGTTTTTAAAGAAGAAATGCACAGAATATTAATCTGTCAACCCTCTTTAAAAGGACTCTGGCTTTGCCAAGTCTCAGATGGTTATCAGTTCACATCCTAGAGATACCAGTGAAACACAGCCTTTTTCCCCCCCAATGCTTGTGATGACTTTGAATTTTGACTGTTATTCTTAATTAAAAGGTACATTTTGCTACTCCTAAAAGGTAGTTCTCAAATTCCTGGTCTGCATTATGACACTCATTTTCTCACCCCCCCTTCTGCTAGCAAGCACTTTAAGTGTGCAACTGACTGTTATTCGTATTCCCTCTTTCCCTTTAACTGTAACTCACATTGATAAAGGAGTTTCATTAGTTTCTCAGAAAGCCTCATTGTAGGCAGCCGCAGGTCAATGTCAGCAATGCATTATTGGATTGACTGTTTTCTAGAAGGCTAATCTTTTGGATTACGAAGAATAGAGGTCTGGGAGCTTCCATTAACTTTAAGGGATTTCATTTTTTTATCAATAAAAGGTGCCGGCTTCTGTTTGTTTGCCAATTAATAACTGCATGTCACACTTACAATGACAGTTACATTTTCCTAATTAAAATCAAAGCAGCAGCTTAAAAGGCAAGAAAAGAGACTTGATCATTGAGAACAACAGCTACCGTACATGGTAAATATTTACATCTTAAATCCAATGATCATTCCGTCTTTCTGCAGCTATTGTTGCTTATTGACTCTCCAGTGAAGACTGTAATCTACCACAACAAACAAAAAAGGGTTCTGGAAATATGGAACAAGCTACCTAACCATCTGGTTGAAGCCAACACCTTAGATTCCTTCAGGAAATTGCTGGATGAGATTCTTGGATCAATAAACTACTATGGAATAGGGCAGGTGGGCCAAATGCTCGCCTCCTAACCATTCTTAGATTCTCATGTTCTAAAAAAAAGTATTTTTTATTAAATAACTTTTGATAACTCTTAACTCTTGAAAAAACAAATGATTGCCCATACTTTTAAAGGTACGAGAAAACAATTTAATTTGGCATTTACCAATCTCATTTCATTCACACAAATCCCTAAAACAAAGCTGCAACTTCTTTCTTTATAAAAAAATGCACTTCCTTATTTTAAAAGAAATGTTATTCATCGTGGAAACCTACATTTGCATAGACGTGCTTTGACAGTACATTAATCGCTATTTCCCCAGCAGCATGATGCGTCTCCTGCCAGTTTCAAAGAAAAGTTTCTAAACTAAAAATTATGAAAACCTCTTTATCTGAAGCATGTTGTCAAAAAGCTTTCACCATCTTTGAAATTACACAGTGCATGGTACTGTACCTTCAAGAAAAGTTTTGGAAGGATCGTAAACTGCAACCCACCGCAAGTGTGAGATTAAATGACAAGAAACTGCAGTTTTGACAAACATTTGAAAGTATCAAATCATTTTTTCTCTTTTTGCTTAAGTTATAGGCAGTTAAGAAAGCCAGATTGAAAAGGAAGAAGATACATCTTTAAATTACTTTATCTTTTACACACTTAAAACATTAAAAATCCAAGGAATGCTGTGGTTCAGATTTCAAATTCTAGGGATTCAATATCCTTACTTTTTGGGTTATCTTGCATATGAAAATAATGCTTATAAAAAGAGAAGTTAGTTTATTTCTTGGGTACTATACATGGATTTTTACATGGAGTTCAAACCAGTCCTCAAATGTTTACAGATTGTTTACTACTTATTTACTAAACATAGTTTCCTTATTGTGTCTTGCTGATAAATAAAGCTAGACATTAAACAGCTTTTATTGGATTGGAAAATGAAATGTTTCTGGTATATCTCATGAATTAAGCTTGTTCTTTACTTGTGCTTTGAAAAACCTGGTATCCAGGAACATAAACTGCAGATCAAGCTTGCAGATACTGAATCCAATTGTTTTCTGCGTTATTTGAATAGGTCTATGAAATCTTTTATCATCACCCAAACTTTTCAAAAATCAGATTATCCTCAATGTAATTCAGATTCTGCTTAGATAAGGACAAATTTAAATCTATGTATTAAAGAAGGAAAAATTAAGTTGAACTGGTCAATGATAAGCTGGTCAAAAACACAAAGCACCAAAATGTGTTAAAATGTCTTAAAAGGAAAAAAGTCTTAATTCCTGTTAAACACAGGAAATATTGTATACTCTACAGAAGTTCAGCATATTTAAAAAACTTAACAATGTAACAAAACTGCAACCAGAGCAAAAAAATCTCCAAAGGTACTGTATAAAGTGTCCTCACTTTATATTTGAACGTACTGTATACAGTACAGTATTCTTCTACTGGTAATGTTCTGTTGCTTTCAAGCTTACCTGGGGTAAGAGTCAGGAAAACCCCCCAAAATATGGGCTTTCTTGGTTAATATGCATGTGCATTCAATGCATATGGTAAGATTTTGAAATATACAGTTCTCCAAACTTTTGCCTATAGGGAAATTTAGGCAAAATACTCTTTTTGAGCAATATTGTATAAGTTAGGTTTAGAGCTCAAAATTTCTTCAAAGAATTAATGCAACCTTCCAC